TTATTAGAGTAGTTAAAGGCAGATATATAGACAGAGAACCCAGGTATGAATTAAGTATGCAGTAATGATATAAAAAAATAAAATTAAGAGATAAGAGAGGAATGTGCTGGCAGAATAAGAAAGAGGGTGTAGAATGGGATAAATTATCTCACATGAAAAAGTCAAGAAAAATCTTTTACAGTGGAGGGGAAGAGGGAGGAGGTGAGAGGGGGGTGAATGAACCTTGTTCTCATCAGAATTGGCTCAAAGAGGGAATAACAAACATTCAATTGGGTATAGAAATCTGTCTTACCCTATGAGAAAGTAGGAGAGGAAAGTGACAAGAAAAGGGGATAATAGAAGGGAGGGAGGACTGGGGACGGGTGTAGTCAGAATCAAAACCCTTTTGAAGAGGGTCAGGGTGAAAGGAAAGAGGGAATAAAATAAATGGGGTAATAGGATGCAGGCAAATACAGTTAGCAATAATAACTGTTAAAAAATTGAAGCCAGTTTCTTTGATAAAGGCCTCATTTCTCAAACATACAAAACACTGAGTCAAATTCATAAATATAAGGGCCTTTCCCCAATTGATACAAGATCAAAATATGTGATCACTTTTCAGATGAAGTAATCAAAGCTATCAATAGCCATTTGGAAAAAAAATACTGTAACTCATTATTGATCATAGAGATGCAAATTAAAACAATTCTGAGGTGTTATCTCATACCTATTAGATTTGCTAATAGGACAAAAAAGGCAAATGACAAATGTTGGAAAAGAAGTGGGAAAAATGAGACATAAATGCATTGTTGGTGGAGTTGTGAACCGATTCAACCATTCTGTAGAGCAATTTGGAACTATGCTCAAAGGGTATAAAACTCTGCATACCCTTTGACCCAGCAATACCACTTCTAGGGCAGTATCCCAAAAGAGATCAAAAACAAAAAGGAAAAGAACCTCCATGTGAAAAATATTTACAGCGGCCCTTTTCTGGACAAAGAATTAGAAACTGAGGGGATGCCCATTAATTGGGGAATGGATGAACAAATTGTGGTATGTGATTTTGATGGAATACTATTGTACTATAAGAAATGATGAGTGGGATGCTCTCAGAAAAACCTGGAAAGACGTACATGAGCTGTTACAGAGTAAAATGTACTGAGTACAAAGTAACAGCAATATTGTGAGATGATCAGCTGTTAATGACACAGTTATTCTCACCAATACAGTGATCCAAGACAACTCTGAAAGACTTAGGATGAAAAATGGTATTCATCCCCAGAGAAAGAACTGGTGGTGTCTGAATACAGATTGAAGCAGACTTTTATTTTATTTTATTTTATTGAGTTTTTTGTCTTTGTTTTCTTTTACAACATGACTATTATGGAAATGTTCTGCATGATTGCACGTATATAACCTATATCAAATTGCTTGCCTTTTCAATGGGGGGGAGGGAGGGAGGAAAGGATTGAATTTGGAACTCAATGTTTTAAAAACATGTGAGAATTAGTTATTACATGTAACTGGGGAAAATAAAATACTAAATAAAAATATTATAATAGAAATGTTATCTACAGCAATGAGAGAAGAAAAAGAAATTGAAGGAATTAGAATAGGTAATGAGATATTTTTAAAAAAACTGTCATTCTTTGCAAATGATATGATGTTATACTTAGAGATTCCTAAAGAATGAACTAAAAAACTACTAGAAATTATTACCAACTTTAGAAAAGTTGCAAAATACATAATAAGCCCACAAAAATCATCAGCATTTGTATATGTTACAATGCAGTCTAGCAGGAAGAAATAGAAAGAGAAATTCTTTTTAAAAATTGTAGACAATATAAAATACCTGAGAGCCTACTTGCCAAGACAAACCCAGGAACTATATGAACACTACTACAATGCACTTTTCACATGAATAAAGTTAGACTTAAACATATGGAAAAATATCATTTGCTCATGGATAGACTGAGCCAATATAATGAAAATTAAAATTTTTTACCTTTATTAATCTATTTATTCAGTGCCATACCAATCAAACTTTCAAAAAGCATTTTAGAGAGCTAAAAAAAATGATAGCAAAATTCATCTGGAAGAATGAAAGCCCAAAGACATCAAGGGTGTAAATGAAAAAAACATTGAAGAAATGTGATCTAACCGTACCATATTTCAAACTGTTTTATAAAGCAGTACTTATAAAAACAAACTGGTACTAGCTAAGAAGTAGAGTAGTGGATCAGAAAAATAGATTAGGTATAAATTACATTGTGGTAAATGACCATAGTCATCTGGTATATGATAAACCAGAAGATGCAGACTTTTGGAATAGAAACTCATTATTAAAAAAAAAAACTTCTGGCAAAACTGGGAAACAGTATAACAGAAACGACATATAGACCATCATCCCACAGTGTATACCAAGATAAGGTCAAAATCAGTACATGATTTACACATAAAGGGTGATAATATAAGCAAATTAAGAGAGCATAGAATAGTTTATCTGTCTGATCCATGGCTAAGGGAAGAATGTAGGACCAAAGAAAATATAGAGAGCATTACAAAATGTAAAATAGATAATTTTGATTATATAAAATTAAGTAGTTTTTCACAAGCAAAACCAATGCACCAAAACTATGAGGAAAGCAGAAAACTGGGGGAAATTTTTGCAACAAGTATCTCTGATAAAGTCCTCATTTCTCAAATATATAGAGAACTGAGTCTAATTTATAAAAATATAAGTCATTCCCCAATTGATAATTGGTGAAAGGATATGAACAGGCAGTTTCCAGGCAGAGAAATTAAATCTGTCTATAGTGATATTTTAAAAAAATGCTCTAAATCATTATTGATTAGAGAAAAGCAAATTAAAAGAACTCTGAGGTACCATCTCAAAACCATCAAATTGACTTATATGATAAAAAAGTAAAATGATGGATGTTAGAGGGGATATGAGAAAACTGGGACACTAATGCACTCTTGGTGGAGTTGTGAACTGACTCAACCATTCTGGAGAGCAATATGAAACTATGCCCAATGGGTCCAAACTATGCACATACTTACATCCAGCAATGCCATTGCTCAATCTATATCTCAAAGACATCAAAGGGGAGAAAAGACCTATTGGTAAAAAAAAAAATATTTATAACATCTCTTTATGTGGTGGTTACGTAGTGGAAATTGAGGGGATGCCCATCAATTGGGGAAGGCTAAACAAGCTGTGACATATGATTGCAATGGAATATTAGTGTGCTATAGGAAATGACAAGTATAAGGATTTCAGAAAAACCTGGACATACATGAACTGATACAAAGTGAAATGAACAGAACCAGGAGAACATTATACACAGTAACAACAATATTGCTCAATAAAGAACTGTGGATGACTTAGCTATTCTCAGCAAAACAATGATCCAAGACTAATGATGAAGTATAGTATTCACCTTCAGAGAAAGAAATGATATTGTTTGAATAAAAACCGAAGCATACTATTTTCACTTTCTTTCCTTCTTTTTTTTATTCCATTCTTCTTGTAGAAATGATATGGAATTATTTTACATGATTCCCATATATAACCAATATCTGATTGCTTACAGTCTTAGGAAGAGAGGTGGGGAGGGTGAAAAGAAAAAAATAGAATTTGGAACTCAAAACAAAAAAAATGTTAAAAAATTTTGTTTTAACATGTAATTGAGGGAAAAAATAAAATACATGTTTAAATGTAAATAAGATCTGGAGATCTATTTGAAAGTATGTCCAAAAGGGATATAAAAAATGTGAATGTCCTTTGACTAAGAAATATTACTACTATGTACATACCACAAACTGATCAAAGTAAGATTTAACAATATAAATGATAAACTTGCAGGAACAAAAATGATTACATTGAGATAAAGCAGTTGCAGTTCATGAATATGAGTAGAATGCTTGTGTCAGCAAGCTGAAAAGCAATGATTGTCTCCTTTTACAGGAGAGATTGAGTTGAGGAACAGATCATGTGAATTGAGGAACTGAGAAGTTGTAGCATTGGAGGGAACATCAATAGTTATGTTGAAATCAAATATGGTTAGAGCAGAAATTATAGTGCAGAGAAAAAAACTGTGAGTCAGACACTGGATTCAGTTTTGGAGAGGAAATGTTCCAGTTGAAGGTAACATTATACAAAGGCCAGGAAAATCTGGATTGGCTGCCTGATTTCGTATAACATAAGCATTAAATATAGAGAAAGAGTTTAATGCCAGATATTCTGGCATTAAATAGATATTGGCAGAAACTATTTTGAAACATCCACTCCAAAAAATGAATTAAGTGATGGAAGAGGGGAGGGAAACATGATAGAAAGTGTCACCTGTACTAGAAAGAATAATGAAAGAAGGAGTTTGGGGCAGCTAGGTGGCACAGTGGATAGAACACCAGCCCTGAATTCAGGAGGACCTGAGTTCAAATCCAGCTTCAGACACATAATAACATTTACTAGCTGTGTGACCCCAGGCAAGTCACTTAACCCCATTGCCTAGCCAAAAAAAAAAAAAAAAAGGAGTTTCATCTGGTGAGAGGTGGGTCTCAGTGAATTCTAGAACATGAAAGGAGTGAAAAGACTTAGGATGAAGCAGGCATTCCAAAAAGCATAGTGTAAGTAGGGATAAAGTTTTAGTAGGACATTGGTGGGAGGTTTGAGGTAAAGGGGAATGAGGAAGGAGATGCATGATATTGATGGGGAGTTACTATTTGGAATATGGGTGTTCAGTACAACTGGAATTGTTTAAATCCAAGAAGGCAGTGGTGTCTAAGACATTTTATTAGTCTGGACAGCACATTAGTGATGTCTGCTCAAAGAGACAGGTGATTAGAAATATAACTTATTCCTCAATCCTGACTTTATGGTAAGTTGTGTTTACAAATCTTGGGAATGCCCAGGACAGGCCCAAAAAGGAGGAAGTACAGTATAGAATTCTGAAATCCTGGAAAGAAGGCAAAAGGTGGAATGTCCCAGGGTACCTGCCATATTGATATGCTTATTCTTAAAACTGAATATGACTCTGATAGAAATTAGCAGTCAATTATGCAGAATGGTTCTGGCCCCTGTTATCTGCTTTATTCTTTATATTTCCTGAGTATTTCTGTCTGGCCTAAGCAGAATGATGTAACAGTTGGGGATAAAGATGCAGCTCAGTAACCCAGCACTGGATGCCAGGATGGAGAAGATTTCCACAGTAACCATGGCCTTGCCCTTGGTGCTCTGGTATGTGGGGAGGAAGGAAACCCACACACTGCAGAACACCAACATGCTGAATGTGATGAACTTGGCTTCATTGAAGGTGTCAGGAAGGTTCCTGGCCAGGAAAGCCACTGTAAAGCTACATAGTGATAGGAATCCCAAGTAGCCCAGGACAGAGTAGAAGGCAAAGTCAGAGCCCTCATTGCACCCAATGATGATCTGACCTGGTTCAGAGTGGGTATCTCTGTCTGGGAAAGGGGAAGAGATTCCCAACCAGATGCCACAGAGAATCACTTGAATCCCAGAACAGATAACGACAATAGAGTTGGACGCTCTGGATTGCACCCACATTCTACCCCTGCTGCCTGGTGTTGTAAACCTGAAAGCCAAGACTACCATAGTGGTTTTGGCCAAAATGGAGGATACAGCTACTGTGAACACAATCCCAAAGGTCGTTTGTCTAAGGAGGCAGGTGGCTGAAGTAGGACGGCCAATGAAGAACAAGGAGCAAAGGAAATAGAAGTTGAGGGAGATGAGGAGAGTATAGCTGAGAGCCTGGTTGTTGGCTTTCACTATGGGTGTGTCTTGAAACATCACAAATATACAGAGAACCAGAGATGTCATTAGAGAAAAAGAAAGAGCTACACAGATTAGAGCCATCCCTAAAGGTTCTGAAAAATCCAGGAAAGTTACAACCTTGGGGAGGCATGTATTTCTTTCCTTATTTGGATATGCATCTCCTGGGCACTTCACACAATGCTTCATGTCTGCAAGGGACAAACAACTTCTTAGGATGTTAGATTCAGCAAATTATCCCCATCCCCAGGCACAGAAAACAGGAACAATTGTTCAAGGTAATATTTCTTACTTCACAAGGCGTTGTATTTTTTTCTTTTCTGGAAGATGGCAAGTGATAAGCAACCTAGTACCCAATCCAGACTCACTCTAATTATAATAATTATCAATTAAAATGCTATCAACAGTTGAGTCATTTTATTTTAATAATTTCAGCCAGCTTTCAAAAGTAGTCCCGCCAATTCACAGCTGCATCAGTGATATACTAGAGCACCAATTTTGCCACAACTTCTCAAGCACTGGATATTCCTAAATTTGAAAGTTTGATGGTGTTGAGGTGAAATCTCTGTGGTGTTTTGATGTGCATTTCTCTTATTATTGGTGATTTTGAATATTCTTTCATATGGTTGCTAATAGTTTGCAAATCTATTGTGAACCATTTGATCATCTTTTTTCATTTATGTATTGAGCAATGATTTTTGCTTGCCCATAGATGTCTATGCATACACAGATGCATATATATACTTATATGTATGTAGATGTGTGTATAAATGCATTTATGTGTGTAAGAATATATGTATGTATGTATGCAGTGGTATTAAACTCAAATAGAAACAGATCCCTGTAGGCAACATATGGACTTAGAAAGCCACAAATTGCCATTATTTATGAAGTATAATATTTTTGTTTATTTTCTTAAACATTTCCCAATTTTTACATTTGAACCTGATTCTGGCCATACTAGGGAGTTTGTCAGGTTGCACGCAGCCCAAGGTCAATGAGTCTGACGCTGCTGATGTGTACTATATTCTTATCGAAGAAATGAATTCAATACAAATATTTTCCTCTTTATCCACTTCCCTTAATATTCTAAATAGGAGGCTGAAGTTCATTTTGTGAATGCTTGCTCTCTTTTCACCTCCGCCTCTTGGATTCTCCCTCTTTCAAGACAGCAATCAAATCCTATATTCAAAATTCAGAAAGCACTTTATATTTCAAGCAGCTTCTTTTTCCTTCTTCTCTGAGTTTACTTTCATCTGTTCTGCATATATACATATATATATATATATTTACAGTTACTTATACATTTTCTTCCCCTTATAATATGACTTCCTTGACTACAGGGATAGATTTTGCCTTTCTTTATATCGGCAGCATTTAGTACAATGCCTGGAATATAGTAACCTATGGATAAATGTTTGTAATCTCACTGATGGACTTGTCTATAACAGAATCTGTCTTTCCCTCCAAAGCCTCTACACCTTGCCCATATCACTGCCATATTGTTTTGTGTGATATAAATGGATGTTTCAGCACAACAAAAGGATGAGTAGCCAAGGCCTAATGCAACCCAGGAGCCAGGTCCAGAGGTCATCTTTCAAAGAATCCCCAATCTCCTTTCATTCACTTCCATGTTCTGAAAAGCATCTGTTTCAAGGGCCAAATGCACCTCTATAACTGAGGAATAGATATCGCCTATCCCCCCCAATACTTGATTTTATCCTTGCCTCTGGGATAACTGGTATCTTCCCTTGTTCCATTTTGTCCTGTGCCACCAATACCCACTCAAGTCCCTGAGTACCTACCACAAAGGAAAAATTCTTCCTTTTTGTGACTGAGGTGAAATGTAAGAAAGAAATTGCAATTACTTTTAGCCATATTGGAGAATGACTGAAAGCTTCCTTACTCCAATTTCTCACTTAAGAAAAATTTCCCCATTGATCCATTAATCATCCACAGGTGGTTTGTTCCCCACCCGATGTAGATGATACTTCCAACACTAAAATTCTCTGATTCTATAAGCCTGTAACAACCTTAGTATGTTTGGTAGTGTAAAATAATTTGTGAAGAGAGGCAAAGAACAATTCTAATATGTTATCTTTCACTTGTAATTTACATTGGTTTAAGTTTGATTTTTTTTCACAATTGGAGTGTGACTTTTACATGTTCTCTACATATAATAGGGTATTATACCAGTGGGGTTCATAATAAATGAGACAAATAACCCAGCCCACACTGATTCTGATAAGGACAAGGTCTTCTCTGACACATTTCTTAGAGAGAACACAGAGACACTTGATTGGTGATATACTTCCCTTTCTAGATGATTTATCAAAATGTCAATCAGAGGTTCCCAAAGTGAGTGATACCACTCCCTCTAGGGTGCTAAAATGATCCAGGGCAGTGTTAGTAGCCTCAGGTGCAATTAGGGATGTTGAGGAAAAATAAGGGGGCAGTGGAAGCATAAGGAAAGAAGAGAAGAAAATTTTGAAAAACCATTTGTACATGTTTCATTTATTGTGTAACAGAGTTAAATTTATAGTGATTATATTATAATTTTCCAAATAAAGACAAAGAATGCAAGGTATAACCTATCAGTAGTCAAGTCTGCTGACAGGTATTTTTTTCTTTTAAAAATATATTTTGAGTTTTCAACATTCAATTTAAGTTCTAAATTTTCACCCCCTGCCTCCCCTCCCCTCCCCAAGACTCCATGTTAATCTGATATAGGCTGTACATATACATTCATATTAAACCTATTTTCACATTAGCCATGTTGAAAAGAAGAATTAGAACCAGTGGGAGGAACCACAAGAAAGAAGAAATGAGAGAGAGAGAGAGAGAGAGAGAGAGATCAAATAGTACAAATAGTATGTGTCAATGTCTATTTACACTCCATGGTTATTTTTCTGAGTGTGGATAACATTTTACATCATGAGTCTTTTGGAGTTGTCTTAGATCCTTTCATTGGTCAGAAGAGGTAAGTCTATCAAAGTTAGCCATCACATAGTGTTGCTGTTACTTTGTTCAATGTTCTCCTGGTTCTACTCACTTCACTCAGCATCAGCCCATACAAGTCTTTCCAGGTTTTTCTGAAGTCAGCCTGCTCATCATTTCTTTTGGAACAATAGTATTCCATCACATTCATGTACCACAACTTGTTCAACTATTCCCCAATTGATGAGGATCCCCTCAATTTCTAATTCTTTGTTACCACAAAAAACTGCTCTAAATATTTTTGTACAAGTGGGTCCTTTTCCCATTTTTATGATTTCTTTGTGACACAGACCTAAAAGTGGTATTGCTGGGTCAAAGGGTAGGCACAGTTTTATATGCCCTTTGGGCATTGCTCCAAATTGTTCTCCAGAATGGTTGGATCAGTTCACAACTGCATCAAGGATGTATTAGTGTTCCAATTTTCCCATGTCTTCTCTGATATTTACCATGTTCATGTTTTGTCATGTCAATTGGTTAAGTATGATGGTGTACCTCAGAGTTGGTTTCATTTGCATTTCTCCAAATAACAATGATTTAGAGCTTTTTTCTCAAGGCTATAGATGGCTTTAATTTCTTTATCTAAAAACTGTTCATATTTTTGACCATTTATCAATTGGGGAATGACTTGTATTCTTATAATTTTGACATGGTTCTCTATGTGTTTTAGAAATGAGCCCTTTATCAGAGACACTGGCTGTAAAAATTGTTTCCCAGCTTTCTGCTTACCTTCTAATTTTGGTTGCATTGGCTTTGTTTGTCCAAAACCTGTTTAATTTAATGTAATCAAAATTATCCATTTTGCATTTCATAATGTTCTCAATCTCTTATTTGGTCATAAATTCTTCCCTTCTCCATAGATCTGACAGGTAAACTATTCCTTACCCTCCTAATTTGCTTATGGTATCATCCCTTATGTCTAAATCATGAACCTATTTTGACTTTATCTTGGTATATGGTCTAAGATTTGATGTATGCCTGGTTTCTGCCATACTTTTTCCGGTTTTCCCAGCAGTTTTTGTTAAATAGTCAGTTCTTATCCCAGAAGCTGGTGTCCTTGGGTTTATCAAACAGATTGCTCTAGTCATTGACTACTGTGTCTCATATACCTAACCTATTCCACTGATCCACCACTTCTTAGCCTGTACCAAGTAGTTTTGATGATTGATGCTTTATAATACAATTTAAGATCTGGTATGGCTAGGCCACCTTCTCTTGCATTTCTTTTCACTAATTTCCTTGATATTCTGTAACTTTTGCTCTTCCAGATGAATTTTGTTATTATTTTTTCTAGCTCTATAAAACAATTTGGTGTTTTATTGATGTGGCACTGAATAAGTAAATTGATTTAGGTAAAATTGTCATTTTTATTATATTAGCTTGACCTCCCCTTGAGCAACTGATTTTTTTTTCAATTATTTAGATTTGACTTCATTTGTGTGAAAAGTGTTTTGTAATTATGTTCAATTAGTACCTGGGTTTGTCTTGGCAGGTAGACCCCCAAACATATTGTACTGTTTAAAGTAATTTTAAATGGAACTTTTCTTTTTATCTCTTGCTCTTGAGCTTTGTTAGTAATATAGAAATGCCAATGATTTATGTGGGTTCATTTTATAGCCTGCAACTTAGCTAAAGTTGTTTATTATTTCAAGTAGTTTTTTAGTTGCTTATCTACTATTCCCTAAGTATACCATCATATCATCAGCAAAGAGTGATACTTTTGTTTCTTTATTGACTGTTCTAATTTCTTCAATTTCTTTTTATTCTCTTATTGCTAAAGCTAATATTTCCAGTACAATATTGAATAACAATGGTGATAATGGACATACTTGTTTCATCCCTGATCTTATTGGAAGTACTTCTAGCTTATCTCTATTACATATAATGCTTGCTGATGATTTTAGATAGATGCTACGTATCATTTGAAGGAAGACTCCATGTATTCCAGTGCTCTCTAGTATTTTTCTTAATAGGAATGGGTGCTGTATTTCTGTCAAAAGTTTTTTTCTGCATTAATTGAGAGGATCATATGATTTCTGTTAGTTTTGATGTTGATATGGTCAATTATGCTGATAGTTTTCCTAATATTGAACCAGCCCTGCATTCCTGGTATAAATCCCACCTGGTCATAGTGTATTATCTTCATGATAAGTTGCTGTAATCTCTTTGCTAATATTTTATTTACAAATTTTGCATAGATATTCATTAGGGAAATTGATCTATACTTTTTGTTTTCTGTTTTGGCTCTTCCTGGTTTAGGTATGAGTGCCATATTTGTATCACAAAAAGAATTTGATAGGACTTTATCTATTTTCTCAGATAGTTTATATGGTATTGGAATTAATTATTCTTTGAATGTTTGGTAGAATTCGCTTGTAAATCCATCTGGTCCTGGAGATTTTTTCTTAGGGAGTTCATTGTCTTGTTCAATTTCTTTTTCTGAAAGGAAGTTATATAAGTATTTTATTTCCTCTTCTGATAATCTGGGCAACTTATATTTTTAAAGAATCATCCGTTTTACTAAGATTGTCAGATTTATTGGCAGACAGTTGGACAAAATAGCTCCTAATTATTGTTTTAATTTCCTCTTCACTGATGTATTCAACCTTTTCATTTTTGATACTTGTAATTTAGTTTTCTTCTTTCTTTTTTTTAATCAAGTTAACCAAAGGCTTGTTCATTTTATTGTTTTTTTTTTCATAAAACCAGCTCTTAGTTTTATTTATTAGTTCAATAATTTTCTTAATTTTAATTTTATTAATCTCTCCTCTGGTTTTCAATATTTCTAGTTTAGTATTTAATTGGGGATTTTTAATTTGTTCTTTTTCTAGCTTTTTCAGTTTCATGCCCAATTAATTGATCTCATCTTACTCTGTTTTATTCATGTAAGCATGTAGAGACATAAAATTTCTCCTAAGAACCGCTTTGGCTGTATCTCATAAGTTTTGGTATGTTGTCTCATTATTGTCATTCTCTTGGATGAAGTTATTGATCATTTCTGTGATTTGTTGTTTGACCCACTCATTCTTTAGGATCAGATTGTTTCATTTTCAATTTATAATCTATCTTTCCATGGACCTTTATTACATGTAATTTTAATTTCATCATGATTTGAAAAGGATGCATTTAATATTTCTGCCTTTCTGCATTGGATGGTGAGGTTTTTATGCCCTAGTACAACATCAATTCTTGTGTAGGTGCCATGTACCACTGTGAAAAAGTTTTTTCCCCTTTCTATCCACATTCAATTTTCTCCGGAAGTCTACTAGGTCTAACTTTTGTAAGATTCTATTCACCTCCTTAACTTCTTTCTTGTTTATTTTGTGGTTAGATTAATCTAGTTCTGAGAAGAGGAGGGTGAGGTCCCCCACTAGTATAATTTTTTTATGTCTATTTCTTCCTGTAACTCCCTGAACTTCTCCTCTAAGAATTTGGATGCTATACCATTTGGTGCATATATGTTTAGTAATGATATTACTTCACTGTCTATAGTGCCTTTTAGCAGGATGTAGTTTCCTTCCTTATCTCTTTTAATGAGATCTATTTTTGCTTTTGCTTTGTCTGAGATCAATATTGCTACTCCTGCTTTTTTTTTTACTTCAGCTGAAGCATAATATATTCTACTCCAGCCTTTTATCTTAACCCTGTGCATATCCCTCTCTTTCAAATGTGTTTCTTATAAGCAGCATATTGTAGAATTATGCTTTTAAATTCACTCTGCTACCTGCTTCCATTTTATGGGAGAGTTGATCCCTTTCACATTCACAGTTATGATTATTAACTGTATCTTTTTTTCATTCTATTTTCCCCAGTTTATGTTTTTCTCTCCTTTCTCCACTTTCTTCCTCACTCGTTTTGCTTCTGACCATCACCACCTCCCTCAATGTCCACTCCCTTCTATCAGCACCTCTCCCTTTTCTTTCCCTTTTCCCCTACTACATCTTACCTCCCCTCTGCCCTCCATTCTATCAATCCCTTCCCTTTTCTTCCTTCTTTCCCCTCCCAATTCCCATAGGGTAAGATAGATTTCCATACCCAGTTGAGTGTGTGTGTTATTCCCTCTTTGAGACAAATCCAATGGGAATAAGGTTCAAACAATACTTGCCTCCCTCTCTTCTTTCCCTCTACTGTAATAGGTCTTTGTGCCATTTCATGTGATGTAATTTACCCTTTTCTGCCTCCTCCTTTCCTCTTTTCTCAGTACAATTTTTTCCACCCCTTAGCTGATTTTTTATCATCTCATCAACTTATGAGATGATAAAATCAATTTACATCCACATCCTCTGTCTAAATACATATATATATATATATACACACATATATATCTATATCCCTTCTAAATGTAATAATAAAGATACAGTTCTCAAGAGTTACAAGTATCCTCCTTCCATGTAGGGATTAACCTTATTGAATAACATGCTTTTTTTCTTTTATTGTTTACCTTTTTATGCTTCTCTTGAGTCTTATATTTGAAGATTAAATTTTCTGTTCAGCTCTGGTCTTTTCATCAGGAATGTTTGAAAGTCCTCTATTTCATTGGATGTCTATCTCCTCCCCTGAAAGATTATGTTCAATTTTGTTGGGTAGTTGATCCTTGGTTGTAATTCAAGCTCCTTTGCCTTATGGAATATCATGTTCCAAATCCTGCAATCCTTTAATATAGAAGTTGTGTAATCCTGTGTAATCCTGACACAATATTTTAATTTTTTTCTTTCTGTCTGCTTGCAATATTTTCTTCTTGACCTGATAATCCTGGAATCTGGTTACAATATTCTTTGGTTTCCATTTTGGGATCTCTTTCAGAGTTGATAGGTGGATTCTTTTGATGACTGTTTTAACCTCTGCTTCTAAGACCTAAGGGCAATTTTCCTTGATAATTTCTTGAAATATGCTGTCCAGGTTCTTTTTTGATCATGGCTTTCAGGTAAACCAACAATTCTCAGATTATCTCTCCTGGATCTATTTTCCAGGTCAGTTATTTTTCCGATGATGTATTTTATATTTTTTTCTATTTTTTTAATTCTATTGATTTTGTCTGACTGATTCTTAGTATCTCATGGTGTCGTTAGCTTCTACATGCCCAATTCTAAGTTTTAATGAGTTGTTTGCTTCAGTTACCTTTTGTGCCTCCTTTTCCATTTGGCCAAATCTACTTTTTAAGGAGATATTTTCCTCTGTGGACTTTTCCAATTTGGCCAATTGTATTTTTTAAGGAATTGTTTTCTACGGTCAATTTTTGTCCTTCCTTTTCCAAGCTGTTGACTCTTTCTTGCATAACTCATTTCTTTTCTCAATTTTTCTTCTACTTCTCCTATTTGACTTTTAAAATCCTTCTTGGGCTCTTCCAAGAAGGCTTTTTGTGCTTTAGATCAGTTTATATTAGCCTTTGAGGTTTCAGATGTAGGTATATTGACAGTGTTGTCCTCTTCTGAATTTGGATTTTGATCATCCCTGTCCCCATAGAAAGAATCTATGATCAGTGTCTGTTTCTGCTTTTTGCTCATGATGTTTGCCTAACTCCTGACTCTTAAAGCTGAGCTTTCCTGGTGGAGCACAGGGGGCACTGTCCCAAGCTTCTTGTTCAGGAGGTGAGAGGCCTTGGCCACTGGCTATGTGTGCTGTAGCCTTAAGTGCTGGCAGCTGGAAGCTGTAGGGATCTGGCATCTTACCTGGTGCTGAGGTGGGGTACCAGTGGGGGTGTCTGGAGTATGCTGAGACCAGGTGGGGTTTTTCTCTGTTCCCCCAGGGCTTCACTGAAGCTCACAGGTTGGGAAGGGGGGATCTGGCCACTGGAGGATGCCAGCTCACCTGGGGCTGCACTGAAACATGGGGAGGTTTAGTTGCTGTAAGATGCCTGCTTGCCAGTACAAGTGGTGTTTCTCCAATCTGGAGTTTGCTGGTTCCTTGGCTGTGCCAAGGCATTCAGGGGCCTGGTGTTGGTGCTTTCCTGCTCCACCACCGTGGGGCTCAGAATCTCCCACTGGTTTGCTGAGGTGGGGCTTGCTGATGGCATGCTAGGACATGTCTGGTCCTGGATTGTGGTCCCTTTTGACTAGAGTGACAGAGATTTTTCCCATTAATCCCCCAAGCCTCCCAGGCTAATAGAATGCTCCTCCTATTTTTCTGCTAACTCTGCTGTTCCACGATATTTCCTGGTGCTATATTGCCTGGTTTTTTTGAGGTTAATAAGGGAGAGTAAGAGTGACTTACTGCTTATTTCGACCATTTTGGATCCCAGAAGTCCCAACCTTGCAGACAGGTCTTAACAAGGAGGTGTTGGCAGGCAAGCATGTCACATATTGTCAGGAAGTTCAGCATGCATTGGTAGGCATATGTGCTTGTAATGACTTATTTACAATACTATATAGTTACATGATGTAATATTGCATCATTAACATTTCATTGCAGGAAAATAAAACTAAAAATGGACAATAAATTATTGAATTTAAAATGTCATTTTATAAATTATGTATTTTGAAATAACAAAAATTTCAAAAAAAATAAAATATGAAAGTAGATTTCCAGGGGGATGCTGAGTAACTTTTAAAGGGGACAGTAGGCCATAAAAATCTGGGAAACTCTGCTTTAAAATATAGCAAGACATAGGGATAACATCCAGAATGGGTACACATTTCTTCTGGGAATAATTCTTCAAAACCTACATTAGTCTAGTGTCTTCTAGTGAATGATGCACATAAGATGTGCATAAATTCAGCTCCCAGACATCACAAAAATTTTGCATAGCACAAACTTCTCCACACTCCAGCTAATTATCCCACTGCATTTGAAACCATAACAAGACCATATAAATATGTTCTACAAAGAGATAGGGCAAGATAGTTTTTTTTAATTTATAGGTTTCGTTTTGCATAGTAAAATCATATTGGACACCATATTCTAACCATTTGTTCAAGCCACTTGTCCTCATCCCAGAACTTTCCTTTAACTCAGCTTGTTCCTGTATATCCTAATTGTTCAGGCAGTGATGGAATTGTATGTGATCCTATAGCAAAATACCAATTTATTTTGCCCAGTAAGTATAGGAGGAAAATGACTTGCAGACACTTACTCGTCTGATTGGAGATCTCCCCCTCAGGGCACAGAGAACAGTTGAAACAGCAGATGGGCTGTCCCTCCAGTGGGGTTTGCCTGAATCCAGGACCACAGCTCTCACTGCAGGTGGCACAAGGAATCTAGTGACAAGGGAGTAAAATGCATGATGGCTCTGGAAATTAACAGGACAGAGGATGGTGTATCATGATCAAATGGAGAATGATATTGATTTCTGGCAAAGAAAACTTATTCTGTAAGATAAATATGAGAATTGTTCATACATCAATAGAATATGGGTAGAAGGAGCACAGGACTGGGCTGAAAACAGAGACGTAGATGCTAGTCCTATTTCTGTCAGGTGCTGTGGAAAACTGGTTGAACCTTTTAAACATTGTGGACATTAATCATTTGTGAAAGAAGGAATTTGAACAAAATGCTATCCCAGAGTCCTTACTTATCTAGCATTTTGTAATTCTCATTTGTAATTCAACTATGTCTTTTTAATGGTTATGGTACAAATTACTGAAGGAAATATAAGTGATTGACTTAACATATATTTAGTCAGTCTGCCTGTAGGATGCAGGACACAGATAACTCAAAGAGGAGACTTACTTCATTGTTCTCTTTAATGGAAAAGGGAAATTCCATTGTCCTAAGGAGAAATAACTTGTTGGGTTCAGAAATGCAATGAGTTTCAGAAATTAGATGTCAAACTCACTATTCAACTCCACAGAGGTATAGTCCTTGGATGATTTAATGTAACTTTCCCTGAATTAAGATGAACAGTTGGGAGTCATCCACAAAAAAATGCCAGATAGTTGACAAAAACACTGGTTTTGGGATCAGAGGAAACCGGGCCAGTAGTAACCTTTGTATGTCTCAGTTTCTTATTTCTGTCAAATGACATGGCTGAGCAAGATTGACTTTAAGGTCAATAAAGCTTGATTTTAGCTATGTCTCCAATGGAGCTAATGATCTCAAGTTTAAAATCACCTGACAGATTGCTTATTTGTCTTTTTTTTTTTCACCAGAAGTTTTCAGAGGGAAAAGAAATCTGCCCAGGGAGGATTTTCTACCTGAAAAATGGGATGTGGAGTGAGCGAAGCAGGGTAAATTTTGTTCTCATGATTAGATAATCTGGTTGATATCAGAGTTGTTCCTGACCTCATAATATGTAAAGCCCCACACTATGGTCTCCTCATTAATGGTGAAATCGTGGCCAGGCTCAGCCTGGGGGATAAACTGTCCGACTTTCACCAGAGCTTCAACATCCACATCGAAGGTTACATAGTTCAGGATGTTATATTGAGCCTCAGGGTTTCTATTCTCATCCATAAAAACCTGGTCACCAGCACTGTTGTTAAACTGGATATTCTTTAGAAATGAATGGAGCTATAAGAGAAGAGAAATCTCAATCAATGCCTGGTGCCTGAGGTCAGTCAACGCTTAGAAGGAAAATTTGTGAGTTGTTTGGAAGTCAGTACATAGGCAACAAGATTTTATTAAATATATATTATAGATTGGGCACTATGAGAAGAAATGAAAATCCAAAGGACGATAAAAGCCGTTGCTATTAAGGAGAGAACTTAACTGGAGAGAAAAGAAGCAGATAAACAAAAACATAGGTAGTCCCCAGAAGCTTTTTCCAGCTCCCATGCTTCCGTATGTGTCAGGTTCCTGAAGAAGGCTATATCTTCCCCTCAAGCTTTCAGGCATTTGGCTGATCTTGCTTTCTCTCTCCACTGCCATCAGTTTTAGCTTCTTCCCCATTTTATCATGCTCTCCCAAAAGTTAATCACCAGTGATTAGTGCCACATTTCATTTAACCTATTAACATTGATCAAAGTTATAGCAGGAATAGCTGTTACAAAGCCTTTCCCCCTAAAATAGCTGTGGTGCTATAATTGCCATCTATCACTTCAATCCTTAGGAAATGGTGTTTCATACTTAAAGCATCTGCATCCTATTTATACCAGCACTGTTCAGTCCTGCTGCCTTGGAAACTCTGCCTCCTCTCTATTTGACACATCTTGCTCTGAAAACTGCAATCAAATTATCACTACTATTATACTAAAGGTCTACTCAATATACCATCCTATTATTCTACTCACCACTCCTGTGACTTCTCAGAATAAAAGGGGACAGCCTTTACCGGTTTTTTGGACTTTGCCACCTGGTCTTACCTGACTAACTGCACCCCACCCACACTGGCCTTCCCATGGTTCTGTCTCATATTAACAAGTCAGTTCCCTTGTGTCAGTACGAACCCTTGCTTTGAATTTGTCAAACTGCAGGTGTCACTTATTATGATAGCCAGATGTATCTGTTCTTTTAAAGAAGACACTTGTGAGCCTCACATTCTGGAATTTCAGTCACTGGGATAATGTGGAGGAGGGAAGACATTTTGACAATATTTGGGTCATTCTCCAAAGTCAACTTCATCCCTCCATAATAAAGGCTGTGTTGTCTCTATCCAAACACAAATTCAAGTGATATATTATGACAGTATATGGAGACTTCAAACCCAATGTTGATTTCTTCCAAATTCCCTGGGTTCATTCCGATACATTTTTTCTTCATATTTTCCTGAATTACCCATATAAAAGCTTGACCTAACTGTCATTCTTCTCAGATATGGGCAGATAATATTGCCAGTATTGGAGCCAATATCTTCTACTTGTTCATTTCTGTGATATTTGTGCAGGTATTGCTTATGCTCAGGTCTCTAGATTCAATCAACTCCAGCTACTTTTGTTGTTACAGTTTATTTTGCGAATTTCTTGGAATAAGAGATTTTCTGACTAGATCCCGTCATTGGTTTCCAGAACATGACAGATGATAGCCCCATTTCATTCTGCCCTACTTGGACCAGTTCTGAGTCAGTGTCTTCAGTCTAAGGCAGTGTGATATAGTTGACAAAGTGCTTAGTATCAAATAAGGAAGCCCTGGATTGATGTCCTGTCTCAAACACTAACTAGCTCTGTCATCCTGGGTAACCTTATCCACCTTTCTCAGGCTCAGTTGCCTCATCTCTTAACATTAGGATAATAATAGAAAATAATTCTCATGATTCTTATGAGGATGAAATGAAATAATGCATTGGAAGTGCTTTGTACTTCTTGACATACTACACAAAATCGGGTCATTATAATTATTCTGATTAATAAGGCTTAGTAAGGGAATAGCAAGCCAGAGATTGTCCAGATAAGAATAACCATCATTGTGAGGCCTGTTTACAACTTGATATACAAGAGTGGTTTAGATAGAACTGGGAATGATCATTCTAAGAAAAGAAGGCTTAGAGGAGCCGTGATGGCTCTTTTCATGTACTTTATGAACTTTCATGTGGAAGAAGAATTGGATTTCTATCTGACTCCAGAGCACATACTTAGGAACATAGAATCAAAGGTAAATAGATTTGATTTGGTGCAAGAGGCAGCACCTAGCCATAGGAATGCTTTGTTGTTTTATTATTATTATTGTTTTTATGGAATAACATAAGCATTCCTATGAAATAATACACTAAAAAAGATGATTGCATGTGAACCAGCAAATCCCCATTGTGTAAAACTTGCTATTCCATTTAAATATGTAATAAAGTTATTATGTAAACTTCCCTTTTTCCCCTCACTGCAGCTACCATTTGACTACCATTTGACTACCATTGACTACCATTGACTACCATTAGACAAAAATAATATATATATAAGTAAATATATGTACCTCTATATACACATATGTATGCATATATATAGATGTATCTGTATATACACACATACATACACACATATATGTAAAATTATTGTATACATTCATCTACTTGCCAGTTTTTTCTGTGGATGTAGATAATATTTTTTCTATATATTTTAAAGTTAATTTGGGTATTTATAATAGTCAAAATGACTTATTTGCTCAAAATCATTCTAAAAACAATATTACTGTTGCTGTATACAATGTTCTCTTGGTTCTGATTATTTCACTCTTCATTATTTCATGCAAGTCTTTCCATGTTTTTTGAGGATTATTGAGCTCATCATTTCTTATAGCACAGTAGTATCCCATCACAATCATATACCACAGTTTGTTTGGCCATTCCCAAATTGATAGGCACCTCTGCAATTTCCAATTCTTTGCCACCACAAAGAGAGGTTATATAAACAGTTTAGACCATGAAGGTTCTTTTCCTTTTTCCCCTAATCATCTTTGGGAATTGAACTAGTAGGGGTATTGCTTGGTCAAAGGGTATAGGTGGTTTAATAACTCTTTGAGCATAATTCCAGATTGCTCTCCAAAATGGTTGGATCAATTCATTACTCTACCATAAACAAACAGAACTCTTCATTAAAGGAATGGAGCAGACATATGTTTGTGAAGCATGAATTTCTCAGTGTGAGACAGGACTGATATACTTTGCTATCCATACTGCAAAGAAAATACAGTAAGAGGGGAGAGGGTCAAGGTGTGGATGATAAAGGAAATAAGAGGTTGTCTGAAAATACTGTATATATTGGAAGAAGAAAATTCAAAAACCTTGAAGATAAAGAGATAAATCATCAGGAAAAACAGTAAAAGCAGAAATATGGCCTCCAGGTCTGGTAAATGAGGTCAGACATCTATTAAGAAATACTGTAAAATAAATGGAAAAGATCAAACGGTTGAGACAGAGGAATCTATGGAATGAAGATCATAGAACCACAACACATTGTTCTTTAGTGGTTTAAGAGAGAAATGAGAAATTAGAAGAGCACAATTTATGGCCTGCCTAGCAACAATAATGAGCAGTATAATAGAAAAACTGGAATCTGCAGTGGCAAGCTTCACCAAAAAAAATCAAAAGAACAAACAATAGATTAGGAATACAAATACATAGAAGCAAAGGACACCCCAGAAGAAAAGAAACAAAAACAATATCATGTATAAAATATGTGTTTACAACATAAATAAAACATACTGATCTTGAAGGGAGGATGCATAGAGACAGCCCAATGTTCCAGAAGATTATTATAGGACAAAAAGAAATCTTAACACTATAATGATGGAAATAATAGAAGAGAACTTCCCAGAATTTCTAAATGTAGAAAATTAACTTCCAATTGAATTAAGTCTCAGATTTTTTCCAGAGAAGACACCAAGGCTGCAAACGCCAAGATACATAGTGGTAAATTTAATAATTAAATTCAGAAACAAATTCTGTGAGCCCTCAGGAAGAAAGACGTTCAAATACAAAGGAAATAAAATTCTAATAATGGAAGACTATTCTTCTCCCCTGCCTTGAAAAGCAGGAGGGAATGGAATAATGAGTACCGAAGAGCAACGAAGCCCACAGTGACCCATCCTTCAAATTTGAGCTGAAACACTGGGAAAAGGTCGACATTCAATGAGAGCTTGAGATATTTATAGAAAGAAAACTAAAACTGAAAAGATTTGTTGCTTCTCAAACACACCAAACGACAGAAAGGCAGGAACGGTGAATAAATGCAGTGGGCAGGGACAGCAAAGTAACAGAGGCACAAAGCAGGACCAGTGAGGGACTCCTTTCTAGAAGTACACATGGAAAAAGGGTGAGGGTAGAAATATGGTAGAGGTATCAGTTAAGAAGCAGACAGTGGAGTTATAGACAGAACTTGGTAATACCCTGTCTAGACGTGAGTGCTTCTATGCTAAGACTACATTACAACATGTAAGGACACATAAAATGGGAAAACATGTTGGGAGATAGAGGAGTGTGTGATGTACCAGAGTCCAATCAAGGGCTTGTAAGGAGGGGAAATGATCTCATTTGGTAATTTAGAAAGACAATTCATGATAGGGGAGTCAGTGAGAAGAAGGAGGGGGAACACTTGAAAAGAGGAGAGAAAAAGATGCATTACATTGGAGGTGAAAGTAGGTTCCACTGATAAAAGCTTGTATGGTTCAAGAGAGATGGTTGGTGAGGGAAATGGGATCTTACACTGTATGAGTCCTGGGGGACTTGGTGCTTGACAGGTCTACTTGTCCTGGGAGGGGGAGAGTTGGAATGCCAGGGGGCAGCTGGCGGATGAAAGAGAGGGAGAGTGTCTGCACAGAGAAGAGATTTCTAGGCACAAGTAGATAACATGTTCAAAAAGAAAGGGTATAGATGAGTGGTGGGTAAGAGGCCCTACCGTGGAGTAGTTTCTTTTCCGACACCTGTAATAATTGGTAGTGTTCTGTGAGTGAGGTGCAATGGAAAAGAGGATAAATGGAGGTAAAACCAAGAAGGCCACTGTAAAAAAGTACCCAAAGGCCAGAGCCTAGAACAAATGCCTAAAATATTTGAAAGCATGAAGCATAAAGAAAAAAAGAGATAGTTATTGAAATCATGAATGAGAATGAAAGGTCTAGTGTTGATAGAAAGTGAAGATGAATTTTGGAGAGAGTGAGAATTTTTTGAAAAGGGCCATAAAAATGAAATATGAAGAGGACTGGCTGAAGGGGAGGAGGGTAAGGGGGAATCTACTTAACTAAATGAAAGGAAAACAAGAAGGGAAGAAATACATAACCAGATAAAAACACAAGAGAAAAAAGGAACTAATAAAACCCCCGGAAGAAAGGGGCAACAAATCGGCAGGGTATATTAGGGTTGAGGGGAAGAGTGCCACTAAAAACAGAGTTGTCTTAATAAAAGATTTTTTTAAAAGTAACTGAATGAACAACAGCTATGTGCTGCAATGGAACAACATTGGGCTTGAAACCAGGAAGACACATCTTCCTGAGTTCTAATCTGGCCTCAAACACTTACTAGCAGTGTGACCTGGGGTAAGTCACTTAACCTTGTTTGCCTGAGTGCTGCATCTGTAAAATGATCTGGAGAATGTAATGCCGAACCACTCCATTATTTTTGCCAATAAAATCCCAAACAGGGTCATAAAATGTCAAACATAAATGAAAAAACTGAACAACACAAGACTGAATGAACACAATACCGTTTATGATAGAAAAATGAAAAACCTTACTTGAAAAAAAATTGAGACAGATGAAGCAAAATATAAACGTAAGCCATAAATTTTGAAGTGAATGATTTAAACATTCCAATAAAATTTCAAAATCTAACAGATTAGAGAATAAAACAAAACCCTAGAATCAATTACTTACCAAAAAAACACATTTAAAAAACTGACAGACACAAAATAAAACTAAGCAGAAAAAAAAAAACTTACTATCAGATGAATGAATGCACATGCACACACACGCACACAGACACACACAGACACCCCAAACCCAGGAGCTGTCATCTTGCAAAAATAAAAAAGCAAAAAGAAATATTGGGTAAAATTAAAAAGAAGAAGAGGAATAGCCAGAACAGTAGAGGAAATTGAGAATTTCTGCTGAACAATATGAACATAATTCTCTAAACAACCTTTTAAAAATGCTTCAAATTAAATTTGGAGTGGTATAAACAAAAAAAAACACTGTATCTCATTATAATAATCTAAATAATAAAATAACATAATCCTAAAGAATGAGTGGGTTAAAGATAAAATCATAGAAACAATGAAAAATTCCATTAAAGAAAATGAGAATAAGATACAGAAATATGTAGGATGCAGCCAAATCAGCACATAGAAGAAAATTTATATCTTTAAATGCTTTGTTGTTGTCCTTTATACTCAAAGAGGATAAAAACGACATCACTACGTCATTGTCAATACTGAGTATGTCCTACTGTGGCTGGTCTGTCCAAAACAATGTCAGAAAACTTTGCAATAGGTCAGGCACAATTATTGCATATGACCATTTGAAAGAGAAATGTCTCTAAATTTGTGCATTTCGTGTTGCTGTTGTTTAGCTACTGCAATTCTCCTTGGTTTATAGAGTACAGTGCCTTCTTTGAGGCAGAAATGCCAACCTGGATGGTGTCTCCCACATCTCACAACAGCTACAAAAATTCTTCAAAAAGACCTTTAGCAGGTCCTTGTATTGCTTCTTCTGCCCGTTCTATGTGCACTTTCCTTGTGTGAGTTCACCATAAAATAGTCTTTTAGGCAAATGTGCATTTGACATTCAAAAACCATGGCCAGACCATCAGAATTCCACTCTCTGCAATAGAGTTTGAATGCTTGGAAGTTCAGCTTGAGAAAAGACCTCAGTGTCCAGTATCTTATCTTGCCAGGTGATCTTCAGAATGTTCCTAAGACGATTGAAATGGAAGCAAGTTAGTTTCCTGGCATGGTGCTGGTAGATCCTCCAGGTTTAGCAGGCATACATCAAAATTGGCACAATGGTTCCATAGACCTTCAGTTAGGTAGGCAGCCCAATACCTCCTCTCTCCCATATTTATCTTGGGAGCCTCCTAAACACTGAGGTAGCTCTGACAATGTGTGTATCAACCTCATCATCTAAATAGACATCCCTGGAAAGTATACTGACAAGATGAGTGAAGTAATCCACAACATTCAGAAGTTCTCCATTTCCTGTAGCCAATAGTTAAACATATGGATAGTGCAGTGTTGGGGTTGGTAAAGAACCTCCATTTGTCTGGCCAAAATTAGCACAAATAATAAAGAACTAATTTATATTCTGTTGCTTTGTGGCTTCAGAGGTTTCATTATGTTCACAATCATCTGCAAATGAAAAGTCATACACCAACACTCCCTCCACCTTAGTCATGACTTCTAGCTCTTTCAAATTAAATAATTTACCATTGGTGCAGTAGCAGACTTTGATGCTATTTTTCATCCTTGCTGAAGGTGTCCCACAGCATCATAGAAAACATCTGCTAAAAAGCATGTGAGCCAACACACAGCCCTGCTCCACTCCATTGGTGACCGGGAAAGCTTGAGAGCATCGCCCATAATCTAGAACCCATGCAAGCATGCCATCGTGGAACTGGCATAAAATACTGACGAAATCCTTGGGCAATCAAAATTTGTTATGATCTTCCACAAGTCCCCAAATAACAGTATCAAATGCCTTGGTCAGATTAACAAACGTTGTGTAGAGACATCTGTTCTGCTTCTGGCATTTCTCTTAGAGTTGCTGTATAGCAAACATTTCAAATGCAAAAGCATTTCAAGTACAGCAAAGCATTTCAAGTGTTCCTCAGCACTTTCTGAAGCCACACTGGCTGTCAGGTAGATGACCATCTTCCAAGTGAAGGTTCAGCCTGCTAAGAAGGACTATGGAAAAAAATCTTGCCAGCCAGTGCTGAGATAGAGATCCCTCCCCCTTATCGGCACTGGACATGCTATTTCTTTTTTCTCTAAATGTTTACATTGATAAAAGAGGAAAAAAGCAGATCAATGTAATAGTCATGCAACTAAAAAAAGCCTAGAAAAACAACAAATGAAATATCCCCTGATTGAACACTGTATTAGAAATTCTGAGTATCAAAGCAGCAATTAAGAAAATTTAAAATTTAAAAAAAGAACCAATAAAAATCCTAGAAACTGGTTTTATGGGGGGAAAAACAATAAAAATAAACCTCTGGCTAATGTGATTTTTAAGTTTAATATATATTTATTTTTAGCATTGTCTCTGAAAACCTTGAGATCCAAATTCTCTCCCTTACATTTTTCCTTTGTTCACTGAGAAGTCAAGCAAAATGACATCAATTATACATATGAAATCATGAACAATATATTTCTATATTAATTATATGACAAAAATTTAAAAATACTGAAAAACTTATAATCCAATTTGCACTCAGATTTCTTCAGTTTTCTCCCTAGAAGTGGATAGGATTTTTCATCATGAGTTCTTTGGAAATGCCTTGGATCATTAAGCTGATCAAGGTAGCTAAGTCTTTCTCAGTTCATCACCATTGCAACACTGTTTTACCTTACAGAGTGAAGTCCTGGTTCTTCTCATTTCACTTTGCATCATTTCATATAGATCTCACCATGTTATTTTCTGAAACCACCCCCTCATAATTTCTTTTTCTTTTTGAACTCCAGGTTCTTTTTTAAAATTTTATTTATTTATTTTTAGTTGTCAACATTTACTTCCAAAAGATTTTGAGTTCCAAATTTTCTCCCCATCTTTCCCCTCCACTTACCCCAAGACAGCGTGCAATTTGATAGAGGCTTTACATATGCATTCATATTAAACATATTTTGACGTTTTCATGATGTAAACAAGAATTAGAACCAATGGTATAAACCATGAGAAAGAAGAAACAAACAAGAAAGAGAGAGAGAGAGATAGCAAATAATATGGTTTGATCTGCATTCAGACTCTACAATTCTTTTTCTGGATGTGGACGGCATTTTCCATCATGAGTTTTTTGGAGTTGTCTTAGATTCTTGCATTGCTAAGAAGAGATGTCTATCAAAGCTAGTCATTGCACAATGTGGCTGTTATTTGTACAATGTTCTCCTGGTTCTGCTCACTTCACTCACCATCAGTTCATATAAGTATTTCTGGGTTTTTCTGACATCTGCCTGCTCATAATTTCTTATAGAACAGTAGTATTCTATTACATTCATATACTGCAACTTGTTTAGTCATTCCCTAGCTAATGGGCAGCCCCTCAATTTCCAATTCTTTGCCACTACAAAAGGAGCTGCTATAAATATTTTTGTATATGTGGGTCTTTTTCCCACATGTATGATCTTTTGGGACACAAATCTAGAAGTGGTATTGCTGTGTCAAAGGGTATGCACATGTTTATAGCCCTTTGGGCATAGTTTCAAATTGCTCTCCAGAATGGTTGGATCATTTATAATTCCACCAACAATGCATTAGTGTTCCAATTTTGCCACATCTTCTCCAACATTTATCATTTTCCTGTTTTGTCATGATAAGTGTGATGTAGTACCTCAGAGTTGTTTTGATTTGCATTTATCTAATCAATGATGATTTAGAGTTCAAATCCGGCCTCAGACCAAATACTTGACACTTACTAGCTGTGTGACCCTGGGCAAGTCACTTAACCCCAATTGCCTAAAAAAAATTAAAAAATGAGTGATTTAGAGCATTTTTCTTATGACTATACATACCTTTTAATTTCTTCATCTGAAAACTGTCTGTTCATATCCTTTGACCATTTATCAATTGGGGAATGACTCGTATTCTTATAAATTGGACTCAGTTCTCTATATATTTTAGAAATGAGGCCTTTATCAGAGACATTGGTTGTAAAAATTCTTTCCCAATTTTCTGCTTCCCTCCTAATCTTGGTTGCATTGGTTTTCTTTGCGCAAAATCTTTTCAATTTAATGTAATCAAAATTATCCATTTTGCATTTAATAATGTTCTCTCTCTCTTGTTTGGTCATAAATTCTTCCATTCTCCATAAATCTGGCAGGTAAAC